CAAAGTATATGTGAACTGCTATATGGAAAGTGAATTTGCTCTGTAAATCTTCACCCAAATCACAATAAATAAAATAAAATAAAATAAATAACAATGTTTTAAAAAGTAACATAGAAAAAAAATGTTTCTATACCTAGAGTACAAATATAAGAGTCAGATAATATACCATTATGTATAATACAACTTTAAATGCATAGTGTTAGCTGTCCATAGTCTATGCAGAGTTCCAACTCCATACTTCAATACTTCTCAAGATGCAGCAAATTTACATAGTTGCTTTTCAGTATTGTTAAATAATCCCAAATCCTTCCTTTCCTTACTTTTTATGTTAAATAATTATATAGATTAGGTCTGTGTATAGTCTATATCCTATTTCATTGACCTGGTGGTACCGTTCTGCTATAATTTATGTATGTGTAGCTTTATATTACTATCAGGACAATACATTTTAATATGTGGTAGCAGTAGTACACCATGATTCTGCCTTTTTTCAAAATGTATTTGCTAAGCTTTCAGCTTTTATTAATGCCAACTAAAATATCGTCCCTTTAACATAACTATAAATGGCTTACGTTGCTACCTTATAAACCTACTGTTATCTGTTTAAGTAGTACTCACATAGCCATCTATTTTTTTTCACTATGGGTCATAATTAAATAGTTTTATAACAACTGACAATGTAATGCATCTCCTTTGATGCATTGTAATGCTGTTAACATAGCAATAACCTTAAAAGGTGCTAAATATTATTACCATGTAACATTTGTTATAAAGAAAAATCCTCACAACTGGACCAATAAACAGCATCATGATAAACAGAAAAAAAGACTGAAGTTGTCAAAGACTTCATTTTACTTTGTTCTACAATCAACACCAACGGAAGCAGCAGTCAAGACATCAGAAGATGTATTTCATTTGGTAAATCTGCTGCAAAAGACCTCTTTCAAGTGATGAAGAGCACAGATGTATCCTTGAAGACTAAGGTACATCTAACCCAAGCCATGGTATTTTTAATCACCTCATATACATGTGAGAGCTGGGTAATGAATAAGGAAGACCAAAGAAGAGTTGTTGCTTTTGAGCTGTGGTGTTGGCAAAGAATGCTGAAAGTATCATGGACCGCCAAAAGAACTAACAAATCTGTCCTGGAAGAAGTGCAGCTGGAATGCTCCTTGGAAGCGAGAATGGCGAGACTTCATCTCACCTATTTAGGTCATGTTGTCAGAAGGGACCATTCTCTGGAGAAGAATATCATGCTTGATAAAATGGAGGGTCAACAAAAAAAGGGAAGGCCCTCAACAAGATGGAGTGACACAGTGGCTGCAGCGATGGACTCAGGTACTCCAGGAATGGTGAGGCTGGCACAGGACCAGGCAGTGTTTCTTTCTGTTTTACATAGTGTCGCTATGAGTCGGAGACAACTTGACAGCACCTAACAACAACATTTATAGTGAAAATAAACTAAATGGCCTAAAATTTAGCATCAAAACCAAGACGTTAATTCTAAATGATCTGTTTGCCAGAATTCTGTAAAGAACTAGTTATAAAATGTCACCTTTCTATGAACTTGGAGGACATAAATAGTGAAATAAATCAATCACAGAAAGACAGATATTGTATTAGTCCTCTATTCTAAAAAGTCAAGGAAAGGTTTATACATGGAAGGGAACTTTCTTTGTTGATTACCAGAAATTGGGAAGGAGGGTGGAAATTCCTAGCTAGGTTGTGTGTGGGGGGGGAGAATATATATATATAACCAAAAAAACCAAACTCACTGCTGTCGAGTTGATCCTGACTCATAGCAACCCCTCCTTGGGTTTCCAAGGCAGTATCTCTACGGAAGCAGATTGCTCAATCTTCCTTCCGAGAAGTGGCTGGTGGGTTTGAACCTCCAGCTTCCTGTTAGCAGTCAAATGCCTTAGGCACTACACCACCAGAACTCATATCTATCTATGTATCTATAATTATATAGTATCTATAATTATACACACACACACACACACACCAAAGATGATTAGTAGTTACCAGAGGTAGGACGGAGGGGGAAAAGGGAAGCTTTTATTAGGGGAACATTGAGTTTATGCTAATGGTGGTAGAATATTTTGGAAAAGGATAGTAATAATGATGGCACAACATGAAAAATGTCATGAATGTCCCTGAGCTGTAAATGTGGAAGTTGTCATGTTGGCAAATGTCTTGTTATGTATATTTTCATCACAATAAAAGAAAAAAAAAAAGTCACCATTCTGACAAAAAAGAAAGAGGCTAGGAAGGTGACCAGCAGTGACTCCAAATACTTCTGCCAAAGTCCCACCATCATAGACTTTTTTTATTGAAGTTAACTGAAGAAAATTGTTACTTCTAAAATTTACATGGCAAATAAACAAACAAAAATCCTGAAAAATGCAAATAAAGCAAGATAAATGTATTTCAAGTTAACATCATTCACTCCTAGGCATTGTTATGTCTTAAGATCAATAATTTACATTGGTATATTGTTGCTTTGGTCAATTCAATAACCATATATTATGTCTATAGTCAATCTAAGTAGTTAAACAATTAGTTTTTTTGGTTTTGTCGTATAAATCATTTTTTGTTTTTAAGATTTTAGCAAACTAAAACATTCATAATATAAATTAATGTAACTCATAAATAAAAATATATCAACAAAGAATACTAATACATTTATAGAATATATTCCCATAATATTTTATTACTTAAGCTGTCTCCTAAAATTTAGAAATACCTGGAAAACATAAAACTTCTCAAGATGTAGCAACATTCAAAACATGATACCTGATGGCAAAGAGCGGGACTTTTTAAGAGTTCTTGTGTAGTTCTGATCCCCTTGATGGCATTGGATTGAACAACTGCAGCCCACAGAATTAAAAATCTGGATATCTGAATATGTGGGATCATGTAAAACAGAAAATTCTGAAGTTTTAGGCCAGGGATTTTTGAATGGACACCTCTCTGTCACAGGATTTTTTCCTTTGTTCTGCTTTGAGGCATTATCTTTGTCTTCCAATGCCCGAGCAAGCATGTAACTAACTTTTCTTTGATGAGCCAAAGCTTCTTCTTTATCATTCAACTGTGTGCACAGAAATAAAAAGACAAAAGTACCATTATTCAGTAAATCACAGAATATGTAGCTATATTCAAAGAAGGAAATATTTTTGTAAAAATGTTCAATCCTCAAATTTGTAAACTCAATCAATATGAATAATTTAATTAGGTGTTCTCCAATTCCTAAGCATGATGCTACATGTTATCAAGGAATTCTTTTTCGTTTTTTAAGAAAGGCGACAGTATTCCTTCTACTGAAAATTTTATAATCATCTGGGGGATGAGAGAAAAAATACACATAATATTTATGTTTTGTTGTTGTTCGATGTCATCAAGTCAATTTCTGACCCCTAGGGACCCCATGGGGCGGAGGAGCACTGCACTATAGTGTTTTCTTGGCTCTGAACTTTACACAAGATTGTCAGGTCTTTGTGCCGCTCACCCGCTGGGGGGGGGGTGGTTTAGCTACAGTATCAACAAATACTTAATCTCTAAAAGAACACTTATGGTTTTTATATATAAAATTGTGTTTGTATAGGTATACACAAACAACTTGAACACTCTAGAGAGAAGGATATTGGTATGATGTGAGCCTCTTATTGTTTTAGTTTAATAGTCTATGAGATGGGGATAACAGGACTGATTTTGCTATAGTAATAATTAAAGGATATAATGAGAGAGGAACGGCACTAACAACTTTTAAGATGCCTGAATAAATAGGCCTTGTCACGAACTGTATATAAAAATTGGTCAAGTAGGAAGAACATTCAAAGAGTTTAAGGAGCTCATGAAGTTGGAGGATGATACTGCATCTGGGAAAAGAACATGGAAAGGTAAGTACAGAGCAACAAAGAGTTGAATTAATAGGAAACAGATTAGTTTACGCATAACCGCTAACAAACAGAAAGCAAAAATACTAACCAAATCTATTAGCATCTTAAAGACTTCTTGAGGATTATCCTGGTCTTTAGTCCTCTTCAAACTGTTTTCTGAAGGGAGCATACCCAACAGTTTCTGCCCTAAGGTCTTCTTGCTCTTTAGTGTTATAAAGCCTGAAATTGAACATGAAAACTCAGCTGAGACATAAAAATACAAAACTGATGTACTTCCAGTAAAACAGGTAATATGGACAAAGGTTAGAGCCAGAAAGATTTGGATTTAAATCTTACTTTAGCTACTTACTAGCTGTATGACCTTGGATGGGTTACTTAAGTTCTCTGAATTTCCTTTTCCTCACTTCTAAAACGGGAATAACATTACCTACGCCTCAGCATGATTATGACATTAAATATAACACAGTCATGGAAGCACCCAGCCCAGACACTGGCAAAATGTTTCATACACCACATCGTGAAATATGGACACTAATGCCCCTCCTCCATAAAAAAGATTAATTTCTAGCAGAAGGTACAACATTTGTAGATTTAAGTAAATTTCTGGAATGTTTTTTGGAATGTCTTGTAAATGGTCTGCCTTAAGGGCAAATCAAGCAGATAAGGGACTACTATATTCCCTTACCACCCAGCCCCACTGTAACTGGGGCTTAGAAGAATTTGCCCACTTTGTGAGAAACTGCAGTAAAGCAGAAAAGGCAGACGAGTTGAAATGCTATCAACTTTAATGAGTGGATGACCTGTGTTTCTATTTTCAGCCTGAAAAGAAAAAAGAAAAGAAAGAAAGAAAATGTGTTTATAACTTCTCTCAGAACTTGTCTAATAAGCTGCCATATCAAGAAGAAAAGTTGATACTGTTTAACCAAACATAAGATCACTTGTAACAATCACCTCTTCAGATTACTGAATTACATGAATAAAAGAAATCTGGTTTATCACCAAGAAATTCAGAAAAGAGCTGCTGAAACTTGTCTGGACTTGACAAAGCTTTTCAGAGATGAACTGGCTATTTCTGTCTTGGTGCCTCATTGAGACATGAGGATCCAGCCTATAGCTCCCAGAGCCATCTATTTTCTATGGAAAAATCCCTGAGGTTTGTCAGTTGCTGAGAAGAGAGGGACTTGAATATTTCAGCACTTCAATTCTGAAATGAATGTCAATCTACCTCTTTTTCAAAACAAAACAAAAAACCCTGGCTTAAACAATAGACAGGAGCTCTGGTGGTGTAGTGCCTAAGGCATTTGAGTGCTAACCATAAGACTGGCGGTTCAAACCCA